TCTTGCAGCGTCTCACAGCACCAGCGATGAAGGAGAAACGGGATCTGTGACTGGGCAGCGTTCTCTGTGAAGCACGAGAGCTCCCACTGAAAGGAAACACCTGCCCAGAGAGGCCGAGAATGGAACCCCCCGCTTTCCACAATGAGCCACGTTCTGCAGGCAGTGCTATTTGACAAAAGCGACGCACCAATACCTGAGTTTTGCAGGCGGGCGTTCATCACCCCGGGCGTTACGCACGCTTCGCTTCCAAAGCTCTCCGTCCGCTTGCTTTGTCCTACTATTTCTAACAGCACTTCGTTTCGGAAAGCCTGACGGGGCACATCGGCCGTGTTCCTCTCGGCGGGATTACCTCCCGAGGAGAAGCGGGCGGCGGCCGCGCCACACAGCACACGGGCAGGGCGATCGCTCCGAGGAGCCGTGCCGAAGGCTGCCGGACGTACGGCCGCACCTCACGCCTCGGGCTCCCACCGGCTCTCCCCGGAGGGCTCCTCACGCCGCCATCGCCCGGCACCCGCCCGTCGGACCCCCCCTCGGCGCCCCGTCCCGCGGCGCAGCCCTCGGGCCCGCCGCCTCCCGGCCGCCGGGGCCCCGCGGCACCCGCGCCCACCCGGAGCCCGGCCCCGCCGCCTCCCGGCCCCACCCGGCGCTCCCCCGCCGCCCGTCGGTCACCTGTAGGCCCAGGGCGAGGCGCTGCGCAGGCTGACGGGCAGCCGGAACCTCTTGTCGCCGCCCGGCCGGGCCCCCGCGGGGCAGCTGGCGTTGCGCTGGCGGCCGGGCGGCTCGGGCGGCTCGGGCTGCAGGGTGTGGTGGAAGGCGCCGAGCATGCCGGCCGCCAGCCGCCCGTACAACTGCTCCAGCAGCTCCTCGGGCCGCTCGCCGCAGCTCCGGGGCCGGGCCGGGCGTTTGGGCGCTTTGGCGGCGTCCGAGCGGAGCGGGAGCAGCGCCGCGCACAGCAGCGCCGTCAGCACCTGCAACGGGCAGCCGTCAGCGGGGCCGCCGCCCGCCGCCCGCTCCCCCCGCCCCCCGCGCCCGACCCGCTCCCGGCCGCGCGGCCCCCGCCCGCCGCCCCTCCTCACCCGGCCTCGCTGCATGGCGCCGCTCGGGCCGCTCGAGGAAGGCGAGGGGCGCGTGCCGCTGGCTGTCTCCCGGCGGAGGAGCAGCTGGAAACGCGCCCCGCGCCTCGCCGCATCTCCCCTGGCCTCGCGTGCCAGCAGGATCGCGGGCGTTCACGGAGGAGGCGAGCGCTCCGGCGGGGAGAGAGCCCGGCCCCGAGCTCGGAAGGAAACGAGCAGCGCGCGAACCGCAGAGCCCAGCGACGGGCTCGTGAAACACAGCTTTATTGTGAGGCGCGCTGGAGTCGGTGCGCATCGATCCCTCGATGATGGATAAGCGCTGTTTCCTCCGAGAAGGCAGCTAAGGCGCTGACGTGCTTTACCCCTCCACGGCCTCGCATGGAAACCGTGCCGCTGCGCTCCTGGCAACAGCTGAGCCCCATGTGCGCCCTGCACGGAGCGGCACGGGCTGCCCCGGCCTCCTGGCCTCCCGCCTCGTGGCGCTGCCCTGAGCACGTGGCGGTTGGTCACGCACCTTCATGGGGCTCTGTGACCTCAGAGCGATCAGATCCCTGCGTACACAGGAAGGGTGTTCAATACATATTTATTGGTTTGATCGACACGTATCCTAGGAAAGAGCGACGGCACAAAGGAGAGGAACCAACCGAGGGATTGATGAATTCAAGCTTTATTGGCAGACAGAGTTTGGAGACTGTCCCACAGGAACAGCGAGGGCCGGCGGTGCGGAGCTCTCCTCACCGATGGAGGGCTGCAGGCTGACACCAGCAGTTGCCGCGCTCCGGTCGTGTCCCCGTCCTGGCCTACAAGACAAAACAGCCCTCCACCACCACCTGTGCCCAGAGGTTGCTCACACTTGGTGTCTCCGGACACAGGTGCGTGACTGGGATGCAAGAGCCCCCCCCGCCGTCCCGTCTAAGATCAGCCCTAGCTCCTGCCTGTCCTGTCTCATAGCAGCCCCAGCCCCAGGCCCTTCCCTCCCCGATCCCTTCTCACTTCAGCTCCCGCTCCGCTGCTGCCCGCTCTGCTCTGGGCTGCTGGCTCGCCGGCAGGGCCCTTTATATACCCGCTGGGGCGCGTTCCACTGTTCTAGCCTTTGTGACACTGATGCCGCATCGCCATGGTGACTGAATAGCAGGCGCTGGTGGAAGGCCCGCCCCTCACCTGCCTGCATTGGAATCTTCGCTTTCTGCAGTTTCAATGCAGGAGTCAAATAACCCAAGCATCACTTATTTGTCACCGATCGTAAAACACACTGTAGCTTCAACTCCAAAGAGTTTCATAGACGGTCCCATACACACAAAGTGTTTCAACATTTATTTCTTTAAAACCTGGTACAAAACCACCCTGAAGAAGCTCTGCTTTGCTAAAAAGGAAAAAAGATTTTGAGTGGACCCCATGTTTTTCCGGAAGCAAATCCTCTCCTAGTTCTTCATCAGCAAAGTCATCTTCCTCTGTTCTTTTCCTTGCTGCAGTTTTAGGTCTTTCTGCTTGTGGGCCAAGTGGGTCTGTGTAGGAAGCGTCTGGGATTCAAACAAGGACATTTGAAACTGTTACCTGCAAGTACTTCTGGCTTGGTTTTAAACACCTCTAATCAAGCAGGAGACTGCTTTCTAACATGACACGGCTGTCAAGGTATCTTCTTTGAAATGCAGACTAGAAAGATCACTGAAGGAGAAGAAGATACCACATTTGGATTTTTAAGATCTTTTTCCTGACCAAACCTTGCAGCAGAAAAACAGTATCATTGGGCCACGTTCCTTAGTACCTACAGATCCTTTAAAGGGAGCTCTGAACAATGAAACTGACGGCATTCCTCACGATTATTTCATGGGGAAAACGCTTTCCTGATTGTGCAATTATTACACTGCTCTTCCAGTAACATCATCTTTCTCGTTCCCTTCTCTTTGAGGGTCTGGAAAATCGCATGGCATAAGATGCCCACTTGCCTATTGCTTTGCTGCTGCTGCTTTCATAGGGTTCACTTGTTCCAGGCAAAGCTTTCAGTCTGGCACTCAGCCTTTCCCCTTTGCTACCAACAGCATCTGGAAGGCAAAAAAAAACAGTGAAAAGGCAAGGAACTTGCTGTCATGTGCTGTGAAATCGTGATACAAGAACAACATAACCTCAGCTTTCTTTCCAACAAGATTTAACGAGACCATCCTTTCATGATGGAGGCAGTACTCAACTGTAACAGTAATTATTAAAACACAACAGTCACTGTGTGTGATGTTCGTTTGGAGTAAACATATTCAACTCTTTCTACTTCCAGTGCTGACATGTCAGTTGCTTACAACCTAAAGTAACATGCTGGAGCTAAAGTAATCATGATACACATTAGCATGGTCACGCTGCATCCACTTCCATTTATCAATATAAAACATTGGTTTATATAAAACGTTGGTTTAAATGGTTGGTTTTACATGGCAGAAAAATTAATAAAACAACATGCTGCAAAAGTAATCCTATCTTGGAATAATGCTATTTGAAGGAGTGATCCCTCTAGCAAAACAAATTTGTTACATTTCTGTTTGTCCAATTTAGGAAGATACCCATGCGTCCAACAATCCAGGCCATTCAAGCCAATATATTTATGCTTATACTTTAGAAAAATGCCATCACCTTCAATTGCAATGATGATTTTAATGCATCAGAAATTGAACATCACACAAAGGACATAGATTAGAATTTTTAGTTTGGCAGTCGGCCTTCCTGAAATGTTTGAGTAATGAAGCACACAGTTAGCCCATGCTTTTAAAGACCATAGAAGTTTCACTAAATCCAGAATGTACTTCAGTGCAGCCCTTGGCACCTTTCACATTTGGGATGAAGGCACCATCTTTGGAGAAGAAAGGGCTTTGGTTGCAGTTAACTAGCAGGGTTGGACTAGATGATCAGCAGAGGTCCCTTCAAACCCCTACAGTTCCGTGATTCTGTGACCCAAAAGAACAGACCTGTTAGTGTGGCAGCCAGAAGATGATGGAAAAACTTTGAAAACAATGCTTCCAAGCGGAACTTTTCACTTGTTGAACACAAGCTGTTTCTGGTGGATCAGTTAAGCCAATTCCTCTGGTGAGTTCATCTGCAGCAAACAAGATGTCCACATCGTTCAGCTATTTCCCACATGTATGCAAAAAGAACTTTCGTATGCACAGCACGCAGCCAACAGAACCATCCCACAGCAATTTGAAATTAAGGAGGGATGAACACGCACACAAAGACTAGAAAATCATAACAATCGTGCAGTTCTTGCTGCAGAGTAACAGGAATAATCTTTTGCCTCAACCACAGCGAAGATTAGTTGGGATGCTTAGTGCCCTAATATCCATAACAGGCTTGCCTATTAGTACAAAGAGATTCCCATGAGGTGCTAAAGGATGTCTGAATACCGAATGGTTGCTTGGGATGGACAAACTCATTTCTTCTCTAACATCATCAAATGAAGTAAGAGCCATCTCAACTCTCCTCGTGGCTTGTTTTTTTCCCCCCACATGCCTCTGGCTAGGCTTAGGTACCAGGCAGAGTACAAAATGCTTAGCCTTTCATCTACTGAACCTATACTGACTGCTTCTTTGGGCTCCTGTCCGAGACATCACGCCGCCTCGTGTACAACTGCCCTCTCATCTGGTACAACACTTCCCATTCAGAGAGCAGGGCAAATGCAGAGACCAAGCAAACACTGCCACGGTAAGGTGTTCCTTAAGGTCATACTTTCACTTATCTATGAAAGGCCTTATGGTCTTCAACAGTAGAAATCCCTTACAGCAGTAAAAACCATAATGTCCAGACTTCCAAATGCTGGCTGTTAGTATCGCAGCTCTGCTGAACTCAAAGAAAGGGTGAGAACAAGGAGATTATTAAAAAGGAAATCTGGGACAACTGCTGAAACTTGGACGTGCTGTTAAAAATCCTTCAGGTTTTTTTTTTTCCTTTTTCTTTAATCACCAAAAATGTTAAAGGTATGTACTGATGCAATCTCCTTCTAATGTGAAGGAAAAAGATCACAAGCCATCAATCTGATATTCACGTAGAGAAGAAACTTTTCGCGCTTATCGAACAAATGTGTTCAGATGTGGGTAAGCACTTCAGACGTAATGCTTCTTTTCCTCTCACCACACAAGAGTAGGCTTTATACTGACGCTCACACACATGTGAGTTTTTTGGGTCCATTTCCTTCCACTCCTTGCACTGTCCATGCATATTCTATTTGTAGTCTTCAAAGTATGCTTTGGTGCATCTCGTGCTTCTTCTGTGTTAATTCATGTTGACAAAGCAAGGTTCTAAGCACACACCTTGCTGGCTTCTCTTTCAGCTTCCTTCACTGAGCACTTTTAAGTAACATTTCCTACAACAAGGAAGTCTGAACTATTAATGCTCCTACTACAAGTACAGGGGAGAAATACTTGCAGAAAGAACTTCTCCTAGGGATGCCAGGCACAGGGCTGGTAAGAGGAAAGAAAGAAAAACACGCATCGTATCTAAAATACTGGGAATGCATATGCACTTCCATTAGCTAGCAAGTACTTTCATTTAGCTACCAAGTCATGAACTAAGCATGATTCCACGCCTCCGTGGAGTCAGTAATGATGACAAATCTCCCGTGCCATGAAGGAAAATTATCCCTTTTGGTCTTGGCAACAACACTGTAAGAGATGAAACTCCAAACGTGTACAAATGTTTATTTTCTGGCAATGAAGACAGCAGTATTTCCAATGCGCATTAAGATCTTGAAATAAAGTAATCCTCATTTATACTTCACGTGCGTCTCCACGCAAGCTGTTTGCAGACACTTCTTAGGCTGAAAAATACAGATTCATAACCCAGAAATAATGCCAAACACTGGCTAAAATGATGGTTTAGTCTTTGGCTTTCCCTTCATCTTCCTCAGCACACGGTAGACAAGCTACAGTGTAATCCTTCACGTTGTTGCCACAACTTCTTCACTGATCATGTTCCCCATGTCAAAAAGATGCCATGCCTTTGACTCCACTGAGATACAGATAGATACATGTATAAAAATATATATTTATCTAAATACACACCATACAAGATGCATATGTATGATATACAGACATACATACACACACTCACCACAACTTTTAATCAGGAATCTCAACAAAAATTTTATTCCAGGTTCAATACAGAACCTTCTTTGTACCTCTGCTTGTTTTCCGAGTTATTTCCAGGCAGGCTGGATCTTTGCCACTGACTTCATACAACAGAGGCTTCTCAAACACACTCTTAATACAGGCTTGTTCCCCAAATGCTTTTTTCCATTCTTTCACAAATTTGACACTGTATCTTGAGCATCACATGAAGAATTACTGCTAGGACAAGTTCGAGGTCAGTTCTGAGACTGAATGCTGTAAAATAAAATGAAAGCAGAATAGCAAGGAATAATTTCCTATCTGGGTCAAAATGGACTTTTTTCCAGCTGGCCAAAGTAGCCACAAGTCTGGTAGCTTCCTCAGAACAGCAGAGGGGAGCAGTCACGTTTAACAGTATTAATGTCTCAGGATTTAATAATGGAAGGGAAAAATCATTAGCTCTGCAATCAGTCGACTGCCTAGTGAGGAAAAGACTGCACAGGCAAGCGTCCAGATTTGCCTTCCTACAGTTTTACATTTAGGAACCTCAGCATTGTGGATCTCTGGGAGCAGAGAGACTTCACAGTCAAGAGAATGAGCTTTTCTTCAAGGAAGCCTCCAGCACTTCATCTCTGCCTTACTGGGAAACGAGAAAGAAGGAGCAAGAAGGTACACAGAGGTCTTCCAATTACAGGGTTGGTAGCACAAAATACTCTTGAACTCGCAACAAACACTACTGGATGATTCCTCAAGGCTTGGTTGTGTGCATTTATAAATGCAAGCAGGTTCCACAAACATTTTAAGACAAACTATTTTCTTTCAAATCCTGACAAGCCCGATAGTTAAGCAGAGGCATTAAGTACTTACCTCCACCAGCACTTCCTTCCCTGCGGTTACGTGCACTGCCATCTCTGCCAGATTTAATGGGCTGCAGAACAGTGGAACGGGTTCAAAAAGAAGAGAACAGAGCCCCCATTCACTAATGTACATTAGAAATAATTATTAAAAACCCCACCTAGCTTATTACTAAAACAGAAGAAGAACATTAAATGGCGTTTATCCTACTGCCACTAATAAACTCTATGTTTTCAAAGCACAGAATTGTCCCCAAATCAGTGTTAAAGCCAATGTTTATGTAAAACTAGAGTCCTGTGAAATTCAAACAGACCATCTCAACAAATTGTTTTTCTTCAGATACGATTTATACAAGGAACGTGCACAAAAAAGTAGTTCAGATGAACCCCTGTGAAGTACAGCTGAAAAAACAGGCAACGTAGACCTCCTTGCATGAGTTCAAAGCAGCCTCTGCTCATTAATGTCTTGCAAATCCTGCAGGCGTGTTGTTATTGTAACGTTTCAAGGGAGGTGGGGAAGTAAGGAAATGTATGAAAAGAACTATTCACCCCTAGGTCTGAAATTTTGAATGCCTGGCGTGGCACTGCAATGTACAGCAAAACTTAAATTGCCGTTGAGTGTTAAATGTAAGATGAAGGTGAAGGCAAACACTTCAAAAACTACGTTTAAAAACTCGGCTCTCTTGCTCAGAGGAAGGTACCATCAACATCTTCCAGCCGTGTTTCCTTAGAGCTATGTGAAAACTCTGACAGTTCATCAAAGCAATACCTCTGCCTCACATGGCAGAAATGGCTTCTCTTGGCTAAAAACCAAAGTTCTCATACACACATACTGTCAGTTACCAGGTGGCACATCTCAGAAAGGGACTGCTCTATGGTCAGGCACAAATAGTCAGCATCTCAAGCACTCATCTATCAATACAAGTAATCTCTGTATCCTACAGAATTCAGATGCTGCATGAAACGTGTGCACGCTACTGCATCACGTGCTCAGGACCATTACTGCAGCTTCCCTCATCTTTCACCACAAGAGTAACGTGGAGTCTGGCAAAGCTGGGATGACACAGACGTGAAAGAACTTCCAAGCTTCTCGCCAACAGAAAAAGGAAGAGCCTTTAAATCAAAATGCACAGGAGTCAGACAGGAAAGCAGCATGCCTACCATGAAACCTGGAATGGTGTTGGAACTATCCAGCCTGGGACCAGAATCCTTGCATTTTGTATTTATTTTGGGAAATCTTCAAGTCTGGAATATGTTCTCTCGGTTCTGGGCTAAGTATTCCGTTCGCGGTCCAGCGCTTTGTGAAAAATGTTCAGACTTCCCAGGCAGTGAAGGACTGACAGGAGTCCAGCAGCAGAAGTTCAGCTTTTGTCTGTCAGAGGGAAGCTACATGATAGTGCCCTGGTGGTATTTTCATCCTTGGACTTTGCTCCCAAAGTGCTGCAGACGTACTAAAGCTGAAGCGCACGACTAATTCCCATACAGTCCCAACTGAGTAAAAAGCAGATACTTGAAACAGGCCCAGTCATTTCTACCCCAAAAATTTCTCTCTCAAGACTGCAGAAGAAAGGTAGGTTGGTGAGTCCAGATGTAGATGCCTGAAGGTCAACACAGCAAGTCCCTGCCGTGTTTGCACCGATCGTCACTTCACACCACACCCAATCAGTCCCACTTTTTCAGTCATTAAGCTCACTCAAAGGAAATAAATGGTTATGTATGTACACGTGGGAGCCAAGGAGGTTATGTGAACTTTTACATTAATACCTGTCTTTTTTTAAACTGAAACATGAAAAAGAAATATTAATGAAGTAAAACAAAACAAAATAAAAATGCATGAAGGTTAAAACAAAAATCCAATGCTGTGAGAGATGGGGAGATAAACTTCTATGGTGAATGAAGCCCACAGATGTTCCCAGATTCTTGTCTGGAAGTATTTAACAACTTGCCCGTATTTCAGACCGAGTGAAGAAAGTACTCCAGAATATTTATTTTAGTATAAATGCCATGTGGATATACTTATTCTGGCAAAACGGTGCCAGAACAGCAAATTTTGATAAATTTCCATGCAGATACAAAGTCAGTGTGCAGACTTTGAAAAGCAGGTATCTTACAGTGGCATTCATCCTTATGGTCTTCACTGTGTGCAGCTGATAAACCACGCGTTAGTTGAAAATTGTGAGCAGGGATTGAGTTGTGTCTGGTTTTGTTAACTGAGACCAGTGCTCCTACTGGAAATCTACACGGTGAGATATTAACACTTGATGATTTTGCAGCTCAAAAACATATGTGCATATAAGTGCACAAATGACAGAAGGAGTTCCTTAGGACAAAAAGACCAAGTCATTCCCAAGGCCACATGGCAGGCAGAAGAATAACCCTCCAGAACAACAAAAAAAACCCACCAGAACCAAATCAGGGGATGGAAACCCAGATGTAACACCAACAGCAAAAAACAGCACTGGTGTTGAGACTCTGTCTTGCACTACTGGATTCCACTAAGATCTCTATCATTCACTTACTACTCAGTGAACTTAACTCAGTGCAGTCAGAATGAAAAAACCCAACATTTGATGCATAATTCATGCACTACTGAACTCTCAGTTTTTAAATAACTTCAACAATATCATCTTTTCAATATTTACTGGTAGCTTTTTCCCCAGCAGACAGTACAGAAATACATCCGGGAAATCTCAAACTTCCAGCAGGAAATAAGCATGACAAAATTTGACAAGAGATTTTTTTCCCCACGTATTTAATTATCAATTTTCTCAAGAGAAAGATTTGTCTTGCCTTTGAACCCTCAACATTTGCAGATGTATGGTGCATAATTAAACCTTCGCTGGTATAAAAAAAACAACACTGGAATTCTATGCCAAGTATGAGATTACCTCTGCATCTCTAGGAACCTCTCTCTCACCAGTTAAGGTAACCAAGTATTTCATAGAATTGTAAGATGGCCTGGGTTGAAAAGGACCCCAATGATCATCGAATTTCAACCCCCTGCTACATGCAGGGTCCAGACCAGGCTGCCCAGAGCCACATCCAGCCTGGCCTTGAATGCCTCCAGAGATGGGGCATCCACAGCCTCCTTGGGCAACCTGTTCCACTGCATCAACACCCTCTGAGTGAAAAACTTCCTCCTAATATCTAACCTAAACCTTCCTGTCTCAGCTTAAGACCATTCCCCTTTGTCCTATCACTGTCCACCCTCGTAAACAGCCGTTCCCCCTCCTGTTTATAAGCTCCCTTCAAGTACTGGAAGGCCACAATGAGGTCTCCCCAGAGCCTTCTCTTCTCCAAGCTAAACAAGCCCAGTTCCCTCAACCTTTCTTCATAGGAGAGGTGCTCCAACTCTCTGATCATCTTAGGGGCCTCCTCTGGACCCGCTCCAAGAGCTCCCCATCTTTTCTGTACTGCCCCACACTGACCTGGATGCAGTGCTGCAGATGGGGCCTCACAAAGCTGAGTAGAGGGGGACAATCACCTCCCTCTCCTGCTGGCCACCCCTCTTTTAGCGCAGCCAGAACACAGTTGGCCTTCCAGGCTGCAAGCGCACACTGCTGGCTCATGCCCAGCTCCTTGTCCACCAGGACCCCCGAGTTCTTCTCCACAGAGCTGCTCTCCAGGAGATCTTGCCCCAGTTTGAATAAATACCTGGGATTGCCCTGACCCAAGTGAAGCACCCTGTACTTGGCCTTGTTGAACCTCATTAAGTTCACATGGGCCCACTTCTCCAGCCTGTCCGGGTCTCTCTGGGTGGCTTCCCTTCCTCCCAATGTACCAACTGCACCGCTCAGCTTGGTGTCATCCATAAACTTGCTGAGGGCGCACTCGATGCCACTGTCTGTGTCACTGATGAAGATGTTGAAGAGCACCGGTCCCAGGACCGACCCCTGAGGGACACCACTTGTGACCGGCCTCCACCCTGACACAGAACCATTGATCACTACCCTTTGGCATTTAACCCTTTTGGTATTTAACTGGTTTCATAGCTGAGCGTTCCTGGGTACCGCACTGAGAATTACTGCAAAGAACTCTGGATATCATGGACATTGAAGTGAGACTGTCTAGCAACTAAGGAAAGCCTCTTTAACACACTTCAGAGAGGTCTCAAACCAGAGTTTTCAGAATAGGAATATCCGGCTATCTGCTTTATTTAATGATGCCATTATGAAAGAGACATGGATGAATACTAGCCCCACTATATTTGACCCCCCAAATTTGCAGACTGCCTTCTTGTGTTCATTTTTCAAAAAGCATTAAGGTTTACATCACAGAAAATCCAAACCAACATACTTCAAATTGCCCACCAAGAAGGCTTGTAGCATAAAGCTGGAATCCTTCCAACAGCATTCCCCTGTCTGAGTTCTTTTCATTTTTGAAATGCTCCACTCTACACGTGCACACTTAGACCCTCTGGAATTGAAGTAAAACTGCAGTAACTAAGGATGTTTTTACACATTATCCAACAATGAAAGGGAGCCAGTAAGTCTTACTAGCACAACATAAATTAGTTAAGACTTTAATGTGCCCTAATGTGACGATGCAGTTTGCAGACAATTCACAAAAGAAAAAAGAAAATAGAAAGAGCAAGCTTGAGTATACTGCAGCTCCATAACACAGACAATGCTTTCCAATTAAGAAGCTGATTTTAAGATCTTACCTTATCACAGGAATAACAAGAAAATGAAGAACACACACTGCTCTCAATGCAACACAGGTTGTGATTTCATACCTTTCAAAGCCTGTAGCTTTCTCATGGAAATCTTCTTCCGTTTAATATTTGCCACTAACATAAATGATGTACTTCATATTTATGTCACCTGCTAATGTCACAGTCCTGTAATAGCAAGAAGGAGTTCTGCCACATGGAAAAATTATTGCACTCTTCTCTCTCTCTATAGCTGCATTATTACTTGGCTGGTAAACATACTTTTCACACTCTGGCAAAGAAGTAGGAAAGACGACATTCCAGAGGAGCTGAATTATGCGTGTGGCTCCAGCATTCCCAGCACAGCCACATAACCCATTTTTCACTAGTATTTAGAATCACAGAAAACCCAGTGCTCAACAAACATTCAGACAGATTTAATGCTGACCGCTCATGTAAAACTAAAGAACCCAAACCACCAAACATGAGCCCCTCCATGCCAGGAATTTCATACGTATTTTATTTGAAAGTGCCATCAATACTGTCTTAGCTTTGTCTGTGGTACGCGGTCCGTACTGCAGGAAGAAATAGGCTTACCTGCTCTCTTATCTCCTTTAATTTTTCCACTTTCTTCAGTTTTGTCAGATACTCGTGGACTTCTTTCAGTCCCATATCTGTGCAGAGACGAACTAAAAATCGGAGGCCTAATTGAAGAACAAACCACTGTGAGAGAAAGGCTTACAAGCAGCTCCAACTACAAATGCTCCCTCCCCAGACTGGACATACTGAATGGCAGCACGGACCACTGCAAACAGCTGGGAATACAAGGTGATGCCAGTCCAACATCACTATGCAAGTTACGATGCTGTGCACAAATGCAACACTTTCTGTGATGCAGTGGCTATACCCACAAACAGTGCTAACGTCATCTATGCAAGCTGAGGATGCAAAACATGTTCAATTCCTTCAGCTCAGAAAGCTTGACGAACATTTTGGAAACTGGAAAGTATAATGGCACCAACTTATTACTGAGGAGCCACTATCAATAGCATTTTCTTAACAGTAATTTTATACGTGCCAAGTGAATCACAATGGTTTGCTGCTTTTTGGGTTCTTTTGTTGCTCTAGTCCATTTTCCAAATATCAACTCTATAGAGTAAAAAACACAAAGAGCAAACAGAACTGCACAATGCAAACAAAAGGATCCCTAAAATCAGTCATTGGAGATGCTGGACCAGACTCTTGAAACATCGATGCAATTCCTATGTGTCTGTGTATGTGTATGTGTATGTGTTCCTTCTGCCTCAGAAGAATGTTGACAAGTAGGACACAAGCCACTTCTCTCAACTTCTTTCACTTTTTAATTACACTTTTTCATTATTATTTTTGCACTAGGTTAGTTTTCTGCTGCTTTAAGGGAGCTGCAATTGTTCACTGAGGGATCAGGTCAGTATCAGAACAGCATAAGGAAGAAAGCTGGGAGCATACGGCCGGAAAGGGAAGAGTGAAGAACCATTATTTCTGCAGTAGAAAACTCTCACATCAGCTGAATTTCTTGTCCAACTGCTGCCTCAATTTTCTAACTTGTTGAAACACCATTCAGAAAAACAGTGGCATTTCTAAAAGTTTCTCACATACTCCAAGCGACTAATGAGAACCTGACATTTTGCCTACAACCTGGGGAAGCCCTACTACTGAATTGATCTTGTACAACAGAACTGCATGCTTCCTCTTAGAAGCACATTTGTTAAAGCAGAACGATACAATTTTGTTCTGAAATACAGTGAAAGCTCTTCCCGTTTCAATGTCAAAGCGTAGGCTTGTTGGGGACAACCTCGTCGTTTGCAATTAGTACAGCAGTGTGAGATGGAGGAGGATGTCACGGCAACCAGTCACAGGCCCTGTGTGCTCCAGGACTTCATCATTTAGACTACAGGTGTGACAGCTTCTGTAAAACATCTTTCTCGTCCAAGCGGTTTCCTGTAGCGCACTATGCAATTCTCTAAGGATTTCCTAGAGACTATTTGGCCTACTGCACTTAGGAGCTCTCAACCTCCTTTTGGAAGGACGGGCTTTGGTAAAAATTTTACTACACCTTTTTTCCTTCTTGGATCTGGAAATTTACAGCAGGAGTTCCAGCTGGTGGGGACCAGAAGTCAAAATTACCACAAGTAATTATAAAATGTAGCAAGTAGGCAAGAAAGTGAGCTCAGCCAGTCAACTACAGTCAGCTCATTTCCATATTTCTTCTTCAGCAGAACCCCAGTACTTCTTAAATCCCATCTCTGTGCTGTCACAAACAATAACCGAATACGGGGGCACAAGCTGGAACAAAAATGTTAGTTCAAAACAACATCTGGGCACGAAAACTACTTACATCCTATGGATCACCAACAAACAGATTTAAGGTAACAAGGTTTTCTTTGATGGTTGTACCACTCAATGAAACAACTTACATTCAACGTTCTCTGGGAATTTTTGGTGAATGACTTTGTACTTCTCTAGAGCTTTCTGGTAGTTACCTGCAAACAAAACAGACGTCTCCTACCAACGTTACCACATATTCAAAAAACAAGAAAAAAGAAAAAAAAGGAATATCTGAAGAGGAATACATACAGATCGACAGCACTGCTTCTGTTCATTTTAATACATGATTTAATATTGTAAGACCAAACTTGAGGAAACCAAGCTTAGCAATCATTAAATACTACTCAACAGCAAAAATTGAAAGCATCTGAAAAGCGTCCAGATTATTCTGTGAAAAATAGTTTCCTGATTTTTGCCCTTTTTCTGCCTGCTAGAACCCTGCTGTCCTGTGGCACATTAGGTGCATCCTGTACACGTGATACATCCTTACCTACATAGGATAGATAACACATCTAGTGCCTATCCAAGGTTGCAGATGGATGGACTGCTCAAATAGAAAGGTGGAACTGCTGAGCTCTGCTGTGTTTCTTTCAATCAGAATACTTGCTTATGTCTCTCCCCTTCTCTTCTGCCCCAAAAGTGGTTTTGGCCAATCTAGTAGCAAAGTAATTAGCCTTCAATTTGGTTCAGCTTGATTAGCATGCAAAGGACTGACAGTGCTTGTGAATCTAAAAATTCACCTCCATGATATCACTGACCAAAACGTTTGTTCACATCTCACTGTTTTTATTTTCCTGACGTGAGACAGAGAACAACTGAATCTGCTCTGTGTTAAACATGATAAGCTGGAAATTTTATCAGTGACTCATGAATGAGGTAAATAAACTGCCAGGATTTCTTTACTGGGAAAGCAGTTAATCTGCCTCTACTTCAGTGGCACTGACTGCTATTAATTCACTGCCTTTCCCAGGTCCTGCTCCTTTTGCCATTGCTGAGTTCAATAACCAGAGACAATCCCTAATTTCTTCAGAGATCCAGTGCTGCAGAGTTCTAAAAAAGCAGAAGGAAGAGTGACCAAATGGGACAGCTCAAAAGGCGAGTCAAGGTGATGTGATGAAAGAGCCTAGATAGATGAGGCACTTTCCGTTTTGCTTATGGACACGTAATGTTCCCAGTAAGAAACTGCACAGTAAGACTGTTTGTGCAACACATGTACTACTGAAACACCTCAAAAATTACATCTCTTGTTGAAAACAAATGGGAATTAAGCAACTTCAAGATCTAATGACTATGTTAGATCTGACGGTACGACAATTAAAGCGCTCTGAGCAAGTAATTCATGCTGTTATATCCTTATTTTAAGTACTGAAGAGCACAAGGAACGTTTCCTGCGTAAGTCAGTACAGGCATACTTCTCACACTTGAAAGAGAAGTCCTGCTTTATTGCACACACACAGAAAGTTTACAACAAAATAATACATTTTAAACAAGATTTAGCACCAGAACTCACAGGAGACAGAAAAGATCAGAAGAAAAAAACAACATCAAAACATCAATCAAAACAAAATTTCTCAACTCACTGCAGAAAATGTTCCTGAACTTACCGCTTCTCCGATAGCAACTGGCAACCATCAGCTGCCACTTCACTTGGGTAGGTCTGCACATCAAGAAGACAAAGTTGGGCACACTGTAAGCACACAATAAATAGGCAACATATTCTGCATAGCATTTGTAAAAACCTACTATGAAACTCCTCTGAAACATTCCACCCTAGTAGAGACTCTTCCTAGCAAGCAGCTCACCTGGTCAGTTCACACACAGTATATTTGTGTGTCATCTTCTCCTGTTCAGGGCTCAGGTTACTAGATGTAATTTTATTTCCAATCAATAACGATACTTATTCAGCAATTTATATCCTGACTTTCATATTTATCAATTAACACACTTAGATGATCTCAATAACAAATAACCACCCAAGTATCTGTGCTGTATTCTTTACTAATAATGGCAAAATCCCACAGAGAAACCATTTCTGTATGAAAGACAGACGATAGTTGTAGATAACCATGTAGAATTTCATATGTCATTCAAAACCACTTTGTAAGGTCCTGTATTTTGACTAAGCTCCTGTCCTCTGACTAAGCTTTTTGCATCACTTCCAGGGGACACGATGCCTTACAAGGATCGACTACTGCAGCACTGATTGCTCTTCATGCTACCTTTGCCATTTGCACACATTTGTTTGCTGCACCAACTGGTTGACCTGGCTTTAGTATTTTACTGCACCTATAACTGCACATTTTTATATCCTTCCCTACACACAGTCGAGTTGAATTACTTTAAATGAAAAGCTGGATTGACAATAGAATCGTATGAACAGCTTCCTACAAAAATAAGAGTTTGAAAACAATTTCATGAGGAAAGAAGGAGCCTCAAGCAGAATGGAAGAAAGCAGTCTGCATCTGAGGATCTGCATACTATCGGTGCCATTTCTTCAAGCTGTGAGTCAGACTGACATTGAAATCAGGAGCACAGTCTTAATTTGATTATTTAGAATAAGTTAATGTGATTTCTCAATGGAGCAATGCGTCTGTCTCACAATCTCACTTTTCTGACTTAGAACACAACGCACAGCCTACAGGCCCACGTTCTTAAGTACATCATGTGCTGCTAAAGGAGCATTTCAGTAACTTCAAATATCTGTATCGCAACCAATTTGATTTGCCAACTCACATCTGCTACCCACTGTCAGTTCTGCATTGCACACTTCTTACTCATGCACCTTATTTGTAATACCATTCTTCTGATGGGAGTCGAACTTAGATGAAAAGGGAAAATGCAGCAAGAACATTTAGATGTACATTCATCTAAACTGTCAATTCCCCACTGCCTGATAAACAGAAAGAGAACAGTTCACAGAAAGCCACAGAGAAGGAAGCCTTGGTGTCTTAGTAGAAGTGCTCCCTATTGCATCGCTGTGTTTAATGACAGAGGATAGAGAAAAAAGGTTCTAATAGCTAATACCATCTAGGGCCCTTTCTTAACATTGAAATAACACAGAAAAAAACAAAAACACCACATAAACAAACAGAAATTTGGGGAAATTTACATGGTGTTCCAAAACAGTTTGCTCTGATACTTGCTTACAATACTAAAGTTATCTCTGAGTACAATCATGGATGTCTAATCACAGAATTTTTAAATAGACATAAAAGAAGAATTACTCACAGGATAAGTGCTGCTCTCTCAAAGTACTCAATGGCTTTTTCACAAAACTGGGTGTCAATGCAATAGGCTCCAAGCCATTCAATGACCTCAATGTTTGAAGGGAAATAACGGTACGACTGACAAAATGGAAGAGGTGAAAGAAACACAACTGTAGTGATAAACAACATCTGTATGTCACTTCTGCAATATCTGACTCAAGTGTTTCATTCCCCAGCTGCCAAAAATACGTTCTATGTGAATGCAAGCAGTGTACTACGCTCAGCAATCCTGAGGAGGAGGGAAAAAAAACACTATGCCGCGTTTTCTAATTACAGAATGTATTTTACAAGTTACCTGAGATAAGTCTGTCACATTTTCCATCCAACCTGACTTGAAGTACTACTTACACAGCCTGCAACAGCTACGATGTGTACTTAGATCAGGTCTATCTGTGAACACATTACCTACAATGGTAAACAATGCTACCTAATACAATTTCACACTCAAATCATTCTGATAGAAAACTCACCTACAAGCATACTGTTCCAAGAAATGCATATGTGTGTAAAGCAGATTCTTAGAAATCTCCACTGAAACAGGCACCAAAATTACAACCATGTACAACTCCACCAGCACTCAGAATTGCAACGCTGCTCATCCTCACTTTACATGTACACAAAAAGAACTGCTGCACTACAAAATGGCTTCTTGCCTTATTCCCATTTCAGAAACCAAAGCATCTCTAGAAATCACAGCCAGCTTGAAAGGAGAGAGGGTGTCTCATTTGAGGCAACTGTGCATACTTAATGCCTAGCAATCAAACACAGACACATAGATTGATCTCCATATCCATCACACAGGTACACCTTCCAACTCATGCTGTCAAGTTAAGCACCTTTAAAATCACATTGATTGTATCCACTTCTAATCTTGAGTGTCAGAGTGAGTTTTAAATGGAAACTGTTAGGGCCCAGTGTAAACAACAACCACTTGGGAAAGAAAAGTTGGAGGTCGTATGCCAGGAGGAAACACAGACTGAGCGCTTCCTTGGGACCTGACTACAACAATTACATTTTGTCAACTACCTGCAACCCCCACCTGACAAAGGCCATTCTTTCTTCTTTTGGATGACATTTTGAACAGTTTAAATCAATCAGTCGTTAACTTGACACAGAAAACTACGGCACTGTTTTCTTCAATTAGAAGAAAGTAACAGAAAGCAAATACCTCATAGTAGTAATGATAGGCTTGGGATTTATCACCTTCCTTGTCATATAATTTCCCTAGTTTTGAAAGCACATGTGGGTCAGTTGGTACTACACTGATCAACTGCATGAGCCACTCTATGGCTTGATTGGGATCTTCCATGATTTCATAGCTGAGTTTTCTTCAGTTAAGGAACAGCATTAGGAGCACAAGGAACAGCAGTGACGATTTGCCGAGCGGTGCAGTGGACACAATACCAGGAAGGGAAGTCATCCAGAGGGACCTGGACATGCATGAAAAGTGGGTGCACAAGAATCTAAGGAGGTTTAACAAGGCCAAGTGCAAGGTGCTGCACTCGGGTCAAGGCAATGCCAGATACGTATACAGGCTGGGAGAATAACTCCTTGAGAGCAGCCCTGTGGAGAAGGACTTTAGGAGTGCTGACGGATGAAAAGCTGGGCATGAGCCAGCAGCTCATGGGAGCACACAGCCCAAAAGGCCAACAGCATCTTGGCCTGCATGAGAAGAGAGCGGGCAGCGGGAGGGGATTATCCCCTTCTGCACTGCCCTTGCGAGGCCCCACCAGGAGTACTGCGCCCAGCTCTGGGGCCCCCAGCAGAAGGGAGCAGCTGAAGTGGCTTCAGAGGAGGGCCTCAAAGACGATCCAAGGGCTGGAGCACCTCTCCTGTGAAGACAGGCTGACAAAGCTGGCCTCATTTAGCTTGGAGAAGGCTCCGCACTGATCTCGTTGCAGCTTTCCAGTAATGGAAGGGAGGTTACAAGCAAGAGAGGGACTGATTTTTCACACTTTCTGACAGTGACAGGACAAGGGGGAATGACTATCAGCTACAAGAAGGGAGATTTTCGTTAGACATTCGTTTGTGGATGTCCCACCTCTAGAAGCATTCAAGACCAGGTTGGATGGGGCCCTGGGCAGCCTGACCTAATGGCTGCCAACCCTGCCCACAGCAGGGGGGTTGGAACTGGATGATCTGTAAGGTCCCCTCCAACCTAAGCCATTATATGATTCTATGATATTTTCTTCATCATCAGCAAGTATCTTTTGCCGAAAACAAGAAAAATAGATCAGAGGCTTCAGCTGCTCTTTCATCGTAAAAAATAAATAAATAAATAAATAAATTGGGCTTAGTTGTAGCTTTGATGTCAGCCAATAATTTCACTTCTATTTTAATAAGAGTCAAGTGTGAGAATCATTTCTCATCTATTTCTGACCTTGACACTTGAGTTTCTATTTTGTAATACATCATTTTGTCCTTAAGTAATTGATGAAGCAAAAGTGCTATCCTTAAGAACAGACTTTTGCCTACCAAGAAACCTTCTGCTGTATGGCTAAGGACAGCATAGGAAATGTTGAATTCTGGCCCAGACTACAGAAGCAGCTTTGATTTTCACGAGGCCTACAGCACGCTCTCCCCTCCTCAGCCACACAGCAGCTCCCACCTGCAGTACTCTGAGCTACAGCTACTTCCAAACACAACGTTAAAGTTTCTGCTGAACCCTGTCTCTCATGGAAGAAGCCTGCAATCACTGTTGGAAAACTATCTCACGTATCTGCGGAGCACAGAAATTCTCCATCTGATCCAATTGTAGCGTATGCTTTTGTGCATGGGCGAGGCAAGAAATACAAACCATAATCCTCTGGCATTTTTGGAGGTTGCTGACTGTCTCATCTCTTACTTTCATTCTTAAAAGTGCACTGCAGCAATTGGAATCTGTTCTGCTTTAGGGACAGTTTTATTAGGGTTTGCACATGCTCAGAAACACTGTTAAACAATTTTCAACTACAGCATACCCCTGGTGATGTGTGAAGCCAAAACATAACCCACCCTGTGCTTGGCTTTCCAATCTGTTTCTGCTTTTGCAGCGCTGGGAGACAATTCCTTTCTTACACGTACCACTAGCCTCAGCACAGCTTCCCAACAGAACAGCACTTTCATTACACCTATTATTTTTTTCTTTAAGGCTTTATCCAACTGTGCTTACAGGTCTGACATTATTATCAGAATAAAATCAGCTGCATTTTGAATACTCCAGGACATACTTTAATACTGACCGTCAGTGTTGAGCTATTCCCTGATACACACGCTGATTAATGCAGCAGGAGCAGCATTCACATATTTCTCCACTTGCTTCACTGGAAATGTCACAGAAGGTTTAAGTTCCAGCCTTGTATTAATAAATATCACACAATCAATCTATGGACAGTCATCCTAATCATAGTGGATGCTACAGTAAATTTCTTAGTCTTCCTGACATGGCTTAAACACGTATTTCAGCTGAAATGAGTTCACCAAAGGCATCATCCCTCATCATGACACAGAAAAGGATACATGGCTGCTATTTGGTGAAGGACCTGAGCACTGTTTCCAAGTATTGCATGGAGTTTCAGGAAACAATCCAAAGCCCCATCTATTCTGTTCAACTTCTTGTGTGTTAAACCTAACAAATAAAAATAAAAAAGGTGACAACGTAAGCACAATGGGAAAAAGATGGATTCAGCTCATTAATTAAGAGAAGAACCAGGAGAAATAAGTAGGGACATGAAAGCCAACAGCACTGTAACTGCCTTGACACCAGTGATCTCTATTACTTCCATCACCCTTACAGTTCTTTAATGCTTTCCGCTGTTATAACATCAGGTGATGAAGGCAAGGAACACCAAGATGAGCAAAGACCAAGAACACAACTCATCTCACTTTTTGAGCAAGATGAATGAGGAAAAGGAATGGCTCCCAGGAGCACAATGCTGGTAATGGTTGAATGCTGCTAAAATGAGCAGGGTTTGGTAGATAGGAATATCTACGTCCATTTTGATATACAAAGTGACTTACCATCACCAACTGGTAATTGCAGATGAGTTCATGGTTTATTTTTTGTAGAAGAGACAGGAAGATCATAGACTACTACAACATCAATTACTGAATGAAGTCCTAACAATTACCATACATTTATCCACAAGCAAAGTATAAAAGCCAGATTCTCAGAAACACTAGCATTACCTTTAGACAAAAACTCAATCACAAAAGCATGTTTGGCTTACCAAGGTTATACAGTGCTTCAGTGCAAGAGCAATCATTCCTGAGAGCCTCTTTATAAAACTCAGCTGCTTTTTCAAAGTCTTCATTTGCAAAAACAGTATTTCCTTTGTTAGTTAGTGCTGCTGGGTTGTACCTATCAGAACTGACAGCTAAATCTGCATAGGTTGTTGCTTGTGCCAATTCCTTCTCCTATATGAACAAAACCAACACTGTATTAGTCATTTCTCAGTTAGTTTTCCTGCACTTCTGGCTTCTCATGGGTACCACGAGAGTAGAATTTCAAAAGATTAAGCATGACAAAAATTACAGACTCTTCAAGCTGAAAATATTCCTTATGTATTTCAATAATCTCTTTAAAATGTCAGAGAAATTAGCACTTGAGACCGGCCCTGCCATTCCCTTCCATTCAGTCTGGAAGTTTTCACTGCTGCAACACTGAATGCTTGTTTAAAAACAAAAGACAAAAACAATCCCTCAAGCCCTACAAATTCCACACACAAACATATCTGACTAACCTACATACTGCACACGTCCCTGAAGTTCAGACAGGGGCTTCGGGAGACAGGCTTTAAATGCAGGAGGTGAACTTCAGCACAGATCATACTTGAGGTCTGCTTCTGTGGCCTGGACATCAACCTCACCGTTCTACCCAGCAGAGCAGACAGAGGACATGCCCCAAACTATAGCCACAGGAACGTGTTCCAGTAGGGCTCTTTTAACATGCCCTTTCCTGCTGTTTGTGCAGGTTTAAATCAACACAGAAATTGCTACAAAGACACAGACATTTTCGCTGCATCAGGTTTGGTTCCTCACTGTTGAAGCACACACTTACCAAATAATAAAGGAACGAAAGGTTTGTTGCAGCTGCACTCTTTACTCTGCTGTCCTTTCTCTCAAACATTTTGAAAGCCTCCAGTGCCTAGAAGCAATTCAGAAACTGCTGAATTCCCACTGAAGCAAACACCACAACATTGAGAAAGCACACACTGAGCACTGAGGAACAAACGTGCAGGGGAGGAGACAGGGAGGAGAGGAAAAACTCCAGAAAGCAGAAGAGCTCAAATACACAGAAAGGAAGGTGAACTTAAGCGCATGGCCTCGCACGCATCCTTCCAGGTGATGGGAAGCTGAAAGATCTTAGACCATGACAGAGGTAGTGAGATTCAGCTAGAATTTTGCTCTGTATCATCTCTCCTATTCCCTGCCACTCATGCTAACTTGGACTGCTATGTTCTCCTTTAGCACTGATTCCTGTCACTAACTGGGAAAAACAACCTACAAAGCATGGGAGAAGGAAACTGAGCAAATCCCATCTGAGTTCTGTTGTTCAGATGAAGGTGTTTGCTAACTGCTATCACTTCAAAAGGAACTTCCTTCATAGGCAAAGAGATGATGAAAACGTGCTCTTATCCCTTGTCCTGATCTGTAAGAAAACTGATTAAAAGCAAGAAGTGCATTTGACTTAAAACTTCCTACGAAAAGATGCCGTGAGACAATAACAAAAGCTGGAACCTTGGAAGCTGTGCTATAAATCTATACACACCTTCAGTGGCAATTTACATGAACGGTAAAGGACAGCTATACCCAAAATTACACTGTACATACGAACAAGAGACTGGTAACAGTTTGTGCCATGAGATCAGATCAGCATAAAATTCACCAGCAGAAACTGCCCTCAGGGCTCCAGTAACTGCTCTGACTCCATCTGCGTTAATTGCACTCACAACTTGGACAGCCAGGAAAGTCCTGACAAAGAGTTCAGGTGTCTTAACTTTGAAGTGAACTGCATTCATTGCAACTTCTACAGTAGACATTTCACTGAGATTAACTGTTCTCTCTCCAGTACTACGTTACCTTCACGAGCAGCATCAATACAATCATGGGGCTTGCCTAAATTGCTCCTACTGTTGCTGAGAAATGTGCTGCGGCCACATAAGATGTCTCTGACAATACCATACGAAAAAGAAAGGATGGGAAAAGTTACTATACCTGGTTAAAATCCCGTTGTCTCAGATAAGTAGAGGCTTTATTTATCTCCAGGTCATTGGCTAACTCTACGTAGTGGGAAGCTTTTACTGCTTCAACACACCTGCAACAGAAAGAAATCTGATGCACAAAATGTATCCTGGCAAAAGCCACTCCAAGGTAAACTCTTCCTGTCAGTTCCTTTTCCCAAAGGGGTTCTTAGCTATTCCTTTTTTTTTTTTTTTACAAAGGCAAAGGGCATTTCCATTAAAAACACTTTAAAACACATTGTGTTCCCATAATCTACCTCAATAACACTGCCTCTGCTTTCTTCAGTCACTTGCCTAAATTTCATGTCATTTTCCAACCCCGAGTGAATGCTGTCATACTGATTTCTTTCTGGAATCCCACGATTATGTTGAGAACTCTATGTAAGAAGCTATGAAATCCAAAGAATATTTGTCCCTACTTTATTTTGGTAAGGAACATTCACTTGCTGAGAAGTACAGTTAGTATTCAGAGGACTCAAACTAGTATCTGGGAAAACAAGCTCAAAATGCTGGTTAAGCTGAGATCTACAACTTCTTTACAGGACTTCAATACCTCAGCCTCAAAGGGGGAAGAGAATCTGTCCTGACACCCACCCAACAATTCCACACATCTCACTGCAGAGTTCTTTAGTCAGCCAGAACAGGTATGAAAGACAACATTCTACTTAATGGAAAGCGTTTTGTGGAGTGCATGAAGGAAAGTGAGCACCTGACAAACTGAAATAAATGAACTGTCTTAAGATTCCTTGAAGCAGAAAACAAACAAACAAACAAACAAGCTACAGAGCAAACAAATCGGCCTTCCTAAGCATATGCTAGCTTGCAAAGCAACACAATAATGTTCACAATACATACTGCTCTGGGCAGTCCAAAGGCAGAAGCTGGGAAATGACTGAATTCTATGATATACAATCATCAGACACCACCTTGTGGGCTCTGGCAGACAAAGCACGTCTTCAGTGGGAGAGATTATTTCACCATTCCATCTTAGTGTAAGTTACCTAGTTAATGAACTAGAATTATAGGCCCCTCGGTGTTTGTAAATACTCCTAATTGGCCAACAAAGGGCAAAGCAAGGAAAGTTTCCTTTTCCCATCAAACTTATTTCACAGATTGAAATTCCTAATTGAATTCCTAATTGAAATTGTCTTTTTTTATTTTTCCTTTCAAGAAAATAGAACTCTGATGTAACAAACACACCAGAAAGCAAAAGCTAAGCTGTAAATCCAAGGAGATGTTATCTCACACGTACATACACAGAAATATTACAGTTACAAATGAAAGGCAAATAAACGTTCCTAACATGTCGATACCTGTGTTCCATACAATGACAAGCCTTCACTACGTTGCCTTCTAACTTAAAGACCCATTGCCATTGTGCTCTGTGTGTACATGGACATCATGTCTGCTGAGACTTTGAGCAGGCTCTGCAATTTTCAAACTCAGCTCCATTGGACAAAGCTTCCCTTGTGCTCACAGCCAGCAGATTAGAACATATTTCATCGCCGACTTTCACTGATGCAACACAATTCCTTTTTAAACACAGAATATGCTCTGGTTTTTTCTCCACTGCATTACAGAGCCCAACTGAATACAGCCTGCACCCTACCCTTGTGATGTGCAGCAAACTGCACTCTCCAGAGCCCTCACGTCCATAACCAACCCCAGACTGGCATGCAGGTTAGACAGAAAGAAGCCGTGCTGAGCTCTTACCAGTCATAGCCCGCAGCAAAAGATGGCTCAAGGACTGGTGCTATCAGTTTAGCAGCTGCCATGATATAATCCTCTGCCATGGACTTCCTAAGGTAAAACAAACAAACACTAACCAACTGTAAAACCAACACACAAACACGTCACAATTTCAAAATCAGGTATGCAAGAAATAACCAAACCTTGCTCTTGCCCTTTCCTGCACTCGGGAGACAGTCTGACAATTCAATCTAACCTGCTGCTACTACTGCTGCCTTGTACCTTGACAATGCTCTCACTTCTTAATGTTTTCCTTGCCCTGCACACGGTAGCCTCATTAAACAAACAAACAACAAAAACAACAACCTGAAGCTGCAAGTTCTAAGCAGCACAACCCACCACATATGAGGGAGAAGGCTTATTTTTAATACTTTCAGGAACAAAAACCTACAGCATCACAGTCAAGAAGGAACAGACTCCACTATTACCTCTCACGTTCTATTTGTCTTAAACGGTCATTTTTGATGGCTTCAAGCAGTAGATTTGTATGTGGATCATCCTGGAAGGAGACAAAAGACCTGTAAATAGTTATGCCAGTACACATGCATCTTAACTTGACTGTAAACATAAATAGATGCAGATTACAGCATCTACGGTGTTACTCACTTTCCACATTTCAAAAGCTGAACTCAATTTAAAGCATTCATAACTATGAAACCTCCAGTTTGACACCACAGCTACTTTCATCCCGTCTCAGCGCTCAGGCACGAGGCTCATGGCTCACACTGTGGCTGCTGATAAGTGCAGTCAGCCTCCCATGCATCAGACTGGCAAGGCTGACTGAGAAGCCTGCATCTGCATACCAGTGAGAAGTCTCACGTGTCTGAAAATAAGAACGTGCTTCAGCACTTGCTGAAAGGCAGTGCTGTGCAGCAGATGGAGGAACTGCAGCACCTCGTCATTACAACAGCTCACACAACTGTCTTGCAGTTTCCCTCACATATGTACATTCCTATCATTTCTGACAGAAACACACAGAGGTGAGGTGCTAGGCATTCCTTGCTGATTTGCTAGAGGTGGATCACAGATGCAAACAAAATGAAGAACAGAACAAAACTTCATTCCTCTGACTACTTCATAGCAAAACAGCAAACTTGGAATGACCGTTAAAACTGTACTAACCTATCCTTACAAAGAGCATCCAGAATCCAGAGCTCTTCTTCCAATCAGTGATGTTACATAGCCTTGAATTGACTCTGCAAGTGTTCAGTGATCCCTATTGCTACATAATTCCCATATAGAAATCATATCAACTATATAATAAAAAAATATACATGTAAAAAAAACTTAAGAAATTGTATCTATATGTATATCAATAATAATATAATCAAACATAATAATATATAATACAATCATGTATCTATAATAATTACTATTATAAAATATAAAACGTAGTGTTTCACATAGTAAATGTTATTTGCTAGTGCTAGGTGCTACAAAGCAACAACCATAGTTGAGTTGCAAAGGTCTTTGATCTTCAGGATTGAAAAAGAAGCTATGTGAATTTAAAAAAGGGATTGCTAAGGGAATATAAAGTGTTTGTCTTAATCTTTCTGTAAGCAGTCCCTTTAAAAAGACCCTAAACCTATTCATTATTTTTCCTTTCTTTATATCACGAACAGCTGGTTTCATGCTAAAAAGGAAGTTCAGTTACAATTCTGTGCTATCTAAAATAACTATCTGTACACTTCACTTAAACCTTCTCTATGTTAAAAAGACAACTGTATTACAGTTTTATTAGCATTCATATAACCGGCACGAGCTCATTTATTTGTTCCTCTTGTTTCAACTTACGATTCAGCAAAATGTTAAATAAATAAAGGATGCAAAGCAATGAGTGAGCCTAAAAATCAGCCCTGATGAATTTCAACAAAACCTTTCAAGAGATTTTATGTAGACTGTATCTTTTGAGGAAAAAAATACTCAAACATCCTCAACATCTTTTACATTTCTGAGTGGTGCTGCCATGTTAAATTCATCCCAGTAAAAAAATGTTACTTTAGATATGCACATACACATCAGCTTACATATTTGTATAGTCAAAGCATTCAACATCTCTCCCTCTTCCTCCTGATTTATTATATATTATTTATTTAGTTCAAACTTACATTTGGTGAAACGTATTTGTCATCATAATCCACTTCCAAGGGAACCGCAATCAGTTTTTGGAATGCTTTTTTCATTTGTTCGCTGTCTCCAATAGCAAAGTAACATACGAGCAGGTTGAAGCCTGCCTTCAGGTTTGGGGACAAGCTCATTATGTGTTCAAATGAAGAAACGGCATCCATGTACTGGCCAGTTTTAATAAATGCAACTCCAATATTTTGCATTATTTTAATCCTAAGCAAAGAAATCAGAGCTAGGTTACTCTTTTATTAACTATCATGCTGTACTCCAAACTTTCATTTCAGAACTGTGCTGAACAGTACAAGCTCACCTCATGTCTTTGTGGACACTAGGAATCTGGTCTAGAGCCATGCGGTAGAATTTGATCGCTTTGGAATAGTTCCGCTGTTTTAAATATATATTTCCCATATTGACCTTCAGTCTACCTGTCACAAGAAGTCCATGAGCTACAATCTTTTAAAGCATAGTTACAGCAACTTTTAAAACTAGTTGAAAGGGAGATCAGAACTTTTTTACTAAAATCAGTCTTCGTTACAGTCATCCTTTAAAGGAGCACAGCAAGGAAAAGCCTCCAGGTAACTCTGACCAAGAAGGAGATAAAATAATAGCAAAACCTAAAAAAAAGACTATCAATGTAAGACACGTCTCTCATTTTTGATTGTGAGCAGAGGGATGGACTAGACATTTATGATGGTGTGCTCCAGGAAGGCAGCTGTAAAGAAGCACCTCAGAGAAAGAGGTGGTGGAATCTGCAGGAGTCTCAAAGATGCCCAAAACTTTGAAGGAAGATTTCAAAAAGAGCAAGCTGAATCAAAAGAAAAAAAATTAATATCAGAGTAGACAACATATTATGTTCCATGAGCAAATGGTGTATTTGACTCTGTGCTCTGTTATGGAAAGAAAAGACTGCATGAGCTGAAAGAGTGTTAACCACACTAAATTATATCAAGCCAAACAGTATGAGCATCCAGCACTCATCCTGGCAGATGAGAGAGCTGAGGTCTCTTTGAGCCAACACACACAGATGAGGTCCTGATTTTGAATGCATGAGTACCAATTTTTATTCATTTTGGTACAAAACCTACCTCCATTGTTGAACATCTTATTCTTCACTATAACTTGGTAAGTGTTTAGTGCTTCAGCATACATTTCATTAGCAGCATACTGACTGGCCAGATTGAAAAGAACCTAGACCAAAAAAAAAATTATAGGTATGGGAAAAGAATGTTCTTATATCAACTGTAATAAATTTGAACTCATAGTAGATACTTTCAGATAAATTTTACCTAAGAAATATGGCTTTTGCCAGTTTTAACTTTCCCATCTTTAATGCTCCTTTGTTCTTTAAGATAATACTCAGAAACAGTGTAATTTATGACTCCCAACGTGTGGAAAATGGTCCTTCACAGTTTAAGAAGAGAATTTTTTGAACTGCTATTTCAAAAAAAGAGCTCAGTTGGAGTCAAGTAAAACATCCCCAATATTTATCTCAGCTTTACTGGAAATTTCTCTGTGAAATAAGCAACTGAATCTGCCTAACTTGTTACATTTACCACTTTCTCTACAGCAAGTCAAGATACCAATATATTTTTTGTTATAATATGTTCCCTGATGGTTCAAGATAAGGGCCATGTTTGATTCTCCTGCTTTCTTCTCCTTTGTATTCACACATTACATTGCCTACATACTCATTTTGGAAGTATGGAGCTTACATTTACTGTATTTTGATATGAGCTTTTTTAATGTGATGAGCAGCTGGAACGTCCCTGGGTGTCCTTCAACTTATACTGACTATGTGATGGATTCCTCATCTCTGGAGGTATTTAAGAATGTGTGGATGGGGCACCACAGGACATGGTTTAGCATTAGGACTCCGTAGGTCGGGTTGATAGTTGGACTTCATTATCTTGAAGGCCTTTTCCACCTTAGGTGATTCTACAATTACAGCATGCACATAGCAATAATGAAACGCCATTAGCTACCAGCATACTTTAGTCATTGAAGAATTCTAAGTACTTACTGAGTAAGTGAGATCTAAGTTGATGCTTTCTGAAGTAGCAGTTTGTTCACGTTGCCTCACTAATACTCTTTCCTTTCTTCCAGCTTCTTTTGCTTTTTCCAGAGCCTTAAATTAAAAACTGAAATTTAGTGATGCCTCAAATCTTACTAACAGAAGACCACAAAAATACATCCAAAACAAGTATGAAAATAATATACTCATGTATCTTTTCTGTAGTCACACAAGTGTACACAATGCTTGAAAAGTAGCACTGCGACCCACAGAAATGTGTTAGTTAGCAATAAGCAGACATACAGTTATCTAGGTCAGCTTAGTTGCAATACTTTTACAGCAGTTACACAGTATGTGTATATATATACACATATACAAAATAGGCACCATAATCACAAGCATAGAAATGTTATTCTACTTGTATGAATCGTAGAAACTGCATATAAATTAAGGGTGACAAAAATGATTAAGGAACTGAAGCATCTCTCTGTAAGGAGATGCTAAGAGAACTGGGACTGTTCAGTCTGCAGGAAGCTCAGGGGAGGATCCCATCAATGTCCATAAACACCTGAAGGGAAGATGCCAAAAGGATGGAGGCTCTGCAGCTGAGTAGTGCCCAGTGCCCAGACAAGAGGCACAAACTGGAACACAGAAGGCTCACCCTGAATACCAGGAAGCACTTCTGTGCTGTGTGAGTGATGGAGCACCAGCACCAACTGCCCAGAGGCAGTGGAGTCTCCACCTCAGAGATCTTCGAAAGCTGCCTCAACACAGCCCTGGGCACTCTGCTCTGTGTGTCCCTGTTTGAGCACAAGTTGGACCAGGTGACCTTCCAGAGGTCCCTGCAAGCCTCAGTTATCCTATGATTCTAAACAAAGAGCAGGGCTGTGTGTTTCTTAGCAGGTCCAAACTGTAGCTAAGACAACCCACGCATTCAGACAGCTGAGGTAAATGATCATCTACCTTGACAACATCTAAAGAGTGATTCAAAATGGTGTGAATTAGACTGTGGATAGAAAACATTCCTTTGTGTCAGACAAAAGTACACCAGTTATTAAAAATGATAACTTGCCCAAATTGCTTAAACTCACTAAATATATCATAATAAATGTGAATAAAATTATTTATTACTTAGCCTCTAACAACTGTAAAGACACACTGCATCTGCAACAGGGCAAATGCACTCAAACTGCCTCCTGGAAAAAGGTCCATAGCCATCTTCAACTGCACCTAGGACCTTTTTGGAAAATGGCCTGGGTCAAAACTGTAACAGTAAATATGCAAACCTAAGCTCAGGAATGGGTTGATTCACAAATAAAGCATTGTGTACATCAGAGAGTGTCATTTTCCTGAGCTGTAGTAAAGCACAGACCATTCACAATCTGTCAGAAAACTTGGAGCTCTAGTCTTCTCAAATGAACATGGGAATTGATCAGACAAAAAGGCCTTTTGGTCCAGGATCAATATTGAATGGTATAAAGCAGTTCAGAAGGACACTTTATTCATCTTCTGCTCTAACTCTACTTACACTCATTGCTTTACTAGACTTCTCATTATTTGTGTTCCAAATAATAACAAATGAAAAAACAAATCCAGAATAAATACCAATGTCAAGTCTCCACAGCTGTTGGCAATGCAACTTTCTTCAACCAGTTCATTCACTTTTTTTTCTAACTGCCTAATCTTCTCTTCTGAGCTAAAATAAACACAACAAGAAAAGGATTGACTACCATTACTAATATATTGGCAAATACTTAAGCTTTAAGGCAGCATATTCTGAGTAAAACAAGACAACAATACTTCACTACTAACTGGTTTTTCCATCAGACAACTTAACGTGAAACTACGTCCAAAGAACCTTCAAAGATATTACATTCACACACACAGAGACCTAGGAAAACATAAATTCTCTTATGAAAAAGGGACAGACATGCAAATATCCTACACACGAGTTGTTGATCTGAAATAATGACAGTACAAGCAGATGAACTGGTGAAACTTTCAAATCTAATATCTAATGAAAAAAATATTGTATTAAAAGCAATTAATTGAAATTCATCTGCATATATAATTTTAAAGTATACACAGATTTTGCTTTAAAGTTCTTATTTGTCTGTATTTATTCTTCTCATTTAAACAAGCAATCATTTCAGTAGGATTCCCTACTCCTAAATGCATTTAAAGAATACAAATGTTGTGAAAAGCTCACCTACACTCACAGCAGACTGCAAAACTTTCACAACTTCAGTTCTAACTCAAGTGTTAAGGCCAGATAGTGACTAGGAAGAAAGAGCAAGCAGACTCTGTCTGAACTGCATGAATCATGGTGCCCCTTGCCTGTGATACACTTTTATAACACTCTGCAATACTATTTAGTATCACAGCATTCATGTGGCAACAGCCACATCCAGGCTGCTAGCTACAGCTGGAACCAGAAATCTCTGAAAGCAGACTTTCCTTCAAGGCAGTACAACTACTCCAGAGAATCAGGTAACCATGCAGGTAAATGTTTGTGGCTCTATTCCTCAAAGTTAAGTTTGGCCTCTCAAGGTTTCACAACTGCATGCATGTTTCTAAGCTCTGCTGTCAGCTGCTCTTTGCACTGTTAATGCTTTGAAATCAGAGCAAAACTGAACAAACCTGTCTGGATTTTTCATTTCCAGAGGTGGAGCAGGACCTCTTGCTTGGCCAAGAGGATCAAATAAAGAACCTGCAAAATTGAGAGTACTGAAAATTTCAGAGTACTGAACACTGTAAAATAACATCTTCCTCTGACAGCATGCAATTTCTACAGACTGTACCTCTGATAGCTGCCTTAGTGTAGCCTGCAGCTTGTACTGCTGTCATTGGCCGAGAAACCCCATCCTTAAATAAAAAGAAAGAAATATTAAAAGACACATCATGGACAGCACAGGCAACAGTTACACACTAAGAAACATTTAAGCACAAAAAAATCAATTGTTAACACATCAGTAAACTCAGTATTTTTAAACTGAGTATTTTTATTGACCTGCCTCATCACCATGGCACTGCCTGATTTTCTGGACTTTAGTTTGGATATTGGCACCATTTCTATGTGGACTCTACTTGGTTTGCTCAGATACTGTTGGGTGATGCCAGGTTGGTGATACTCCTGCACTGCTCAACAGGCGATCTCCTCTTGGGATCTTGGCTTGCCTTCCCTGAGGGAGCAGCCCCATTCCCAGCACTTCCAGGTATGTCCTATATCCCACCAGGGCTGGTGCAAGGGAATAAACAGTGGCAACTCTCTCTCCTATCACTAAGTCAGTAAGTTTAAGGATGGTGTGGAAAACATTTGGTATGTTGCAGTAGTTTCTTATTAGAGTATAAATGCGTAAGAAAAATGAAAAACAGAATTCACCTTTCTTCCTACTTCGAAAAAAAATATATTCATTTGCATGTCAGGAAGAGTTAAAAACAATTACAGTGACACTGTCTCCAACCAGTGCTCAAATAACATGCTCATCCAAAGCATTACACTTGCCATAAGATGCTTTCAAAAAAGGAAAAGCTTAAATAGTGCCATCATTTATATTTAATGCTTATTTGAAACAAGAATATTTGCATTCAACCTAAACACTTAGCAGAAAAATACCACTGTTCTGAGTCAACACAAAACGTAAATATTAAAACTTTCATCTGTGCTGCTCCTGTCACTGGTCTTCCCATAGACGAACTTAAAGTTGTCTTTGACTATAAAAATAAGTAACTTGTTTGAAACTGGCATTCAAAGAGCATTATAAGCCTATAAGAGCTGTGCATACAGAGTTTCCCTACCATTAAGTTTTAAGAGATGACTAAACTCATAGAAGTTCTTATTCATGTACATTATTCACGTGCAATACACTTGAGCCTGGCAGACCTGAAGACATGAAACGCTTCAGTTAGCACAAATTCACAATACTCTTTTTATGTATTTGGATATTTCTGCCAAACCTTTAAAAAATGCAAACTGTATAAAGGCAAGATAGCAGCACTTTCCATTATTAAATTATTGAAACGACATTTAATCATTACAATTCACACATTCTTAAGTCTCGCACAAGTAATTTATGTAAAATTCTGCAGTAAAGTTCTGAATACAGCTGATGTAAGATTAGAAACTATAACTTGTCTGCTTTATCTATGTTACGACACTCCGCACATCCTCCAACCATCATTTTCACTGTAAGCAGTGAAAGGTTTTTTTGCGCTTCACTATGAATCCTGGTGAGCAGCTTGAAGTCGTACGTTCACACAGATCATTTTACAATAAAGACAGAAATACTTTGCAACTGCCAGTGGGTGCCTTTTCCATTAGCTGACATGCCACATACTGTCCTTCTGTATTGCTGCTAGAAGTGTAAAGTAATAAACATCTGAAATAGTAGTAAATGCTAAAAGGTTGCTACACATGCAATACAAACACACAAAAACAAAAGGCTTCAGGCCATGAAAAATCATTCCCCTAATTTCCACCCACAAGGCCTATGTTACACCATTTTACCCACTATCCACCACATATATCATTTCTTTTTCCTTCCCCCTCTCTGTTTACACAGCAAGGATTGTGGTGCAGGAGAAGTGAATCTGCAGAGTGAAACAGGCAGTACCACAGATGGGATGATGCTCCAGAGGTTTCCAGTTCTATGGTGGTCCTGTGGACAACTGATCCACTTCTGGCTGGAGCCCACTAGTTCTGCTTTGAGACAGGATTATTTTATTTAGCTGCACTCAAAAGAAACTTGTTAGCACATTCCAAGATTGGGATTAAATGATAAACTTAATTTGTGAGTAATTTTTTGGTAAATACCTCATTTTTTGTTAAACAAAAAACAAACACCTACCCCAAATGCAGTATCTATAGGTCTTGAAGTTGCTGTACCAGGAATTTTGGCTGTCACCTGAGTGGGAAAAATAATTAAAAAAAAAAAAAAATGCAGCAAACAACTGTATGAGTTAATTATTAGTCTTTTTATATAGTGAATTCATAGAAATAATGTTTTAATTGTTACAGAAAGGTGTCCTGTTGTAGAAACACATTATTCTGGCAAATAACAAAAATTCCTTATTTGCTTTGTCTTCCAGCTTAACTCCAGAGCTTAACAGAACTGATACTCCACTAATTTTTTTACTTAGTTTTCACACAAACAACTGAAAATTGTATATACATGCTATTAGTGGACAAAAAGATAAGAGATGCAATCTTCTGCTGAGTACTAGAGCTAAAATTAGGGATGGGACTCTAGAGAACTTCTCCTCTACTGTAATATCCACAGAACCCAAAGGCAGGACCTGGGAAAACAAAGAACTGCTCGCTGTAGAAGATCAAAACCAACCAAGGAACCTGAATGCACATAAGCCCATGAGATGCATCAGATCACCTTAAAGGAATTGGTAGATTAAGTTGCTAAGCCACTCTCAATCATATTTGAAAAGTTGTGGTGATCTGATAAAGTTTCCATTGTCTGGAAAAGGGAACAAAGGGCTTTACAAGGGGATAAAGAAAGACTTGGGCAACTGCACACCTCTCAGTCTCACTTCCGCGCCTGGCAAGAACACAGAGCAGATCTCCCTCAAAACTTGGCTAAGGAACATGGAAAACAGAGGGGTGGCTGGTGGCAGGAGATATGGCTTCACTAAGGGCAAATCATGTCTAACAAATCTGGTGGCCTTCTACGATAGGCATTTACAGACACAGCGAGAACAGCTGATGTAATCTACCAAGACCTGTGCAAAGCATTAGATGCTGTCTGGCACAACATTCTTGTTTCTACAATAGAGAGGCATAGATTTTATGGGTGGATCCTGGAAGCACTCAAGACCAGGCTCAATGGGGATTTGGGCACCCTGGTCTAGAGGAAGTTGCCCCTGCACACTGCAGGGTGGGGGTGGAACTGGATGGTTTTTAACCAAACCATTTTATGTTATATTTTTATAAATTACTTACAGGGGGTCTTCTACCATGACTTGTTCTTGCTGCCTGTTGAAAAGCTGTATCATTTTCTAAATCCTGTAAAGAATAAAATAAAATAAAACTTTAAATCACAACATCCAAAGCCACAATCCCAGAACACTATGACTACTGAAAGCAGATAGGTAAAAAGTTATTCTTCTTCCAAAAATACTAAAACTAGAACTGAATTACAGGTCTTATTGACAATAAGTAATGACTGCATCTGCTCTTATTTTAGAATAAGAAGTGTAAAAATCAATTATTCCATGGAAAAAAAAAAGTAACACTGAAGAAGCAGAGATTAAGTGATGAAATATAACGTGATTTCTCTCCTTATTATTAGCACTATTTCTGAATTTTAACTGACATCAATGTCTGCCACACACATGCATAAAGATATCTATCTGAGGTCAGACCGAAGTTTCCATGGACTGTGGTATAGGGATTTCATGCAAGTTAGCAAAAAAGTCTTGTGACTTTGTGGGACTTGGACCAAATGAGACCCCTCACTCCCTCCTGTTGTTCCAATTCCAGTATATCAGAAGGTTTCAGTAACTGGTCTGTAGGGTTATTTTGCTACCCCAGATGCTCTACAAGTTGGGCAGGGACCAGCAGAGTGGGAACCGCATTTTCACTCCCTTCAGCTCCAGCACATTAAGAGATGGATGACCTGTTGATCGCTAAGTATCAGGAAACTTGCTGCTGCACACTGAGAAACACTACAATGAATGCCCATACAGCCTCCAGATAATTAGGATTTCCTAATCTTTATGGCACGTTAGACTTGTTATGAGACACGCAAAAGCATTTTGTTGGTACAGATAAACGATCAGAAAGAAAAAACTATTTAAAGAGACACTTGTGAAGCTTTGTATTTATTGCAAAATGCAGAACGTTTCACTTCAAAGTGACCCTGCACATTACCACACTCGTGTGTTTTTATCCCATATGCAAAAATTGATACTCTGCAGGAAAAGCGGGCAAGAACAAACATTTTTACCTCTGTGTCAAAAGTGGGATTATAATCATTGTAGCCAGAGTAAAGATCATCCTCGTCTTCCTCAGGAGCTAGGTGCACGTTCTGCATCATTCTTCCTCGAAACACCAAACGCGACAAACGTGTTGTCAGGAGGAGCTTCAGCAGGTGACCCCCGCCAGGAGGATGCTCTCCCGTCCCGGCACAGCCCCGCGCCGGCCTGGGGTCCGCCCGCTGTGTCGCTGCGCCCCAGGCAGAACCGCTCCTTTCGGCGGCGCTCCTCGGCCGCGCCGCGGGGGTTCAGGGCGTCACCGCGAACTGCCGACGACCGCCCCGCTCCTGCAGCTCCGAGCGCTGCGCAGGCCGCCCGGCCCGGCAACACTGTCCAAGCGATTGGGTGAGGACGCGGACCCCTATAACGCACTGCGTTCAGTTGCTACGAAACGTACGGAGCAGAGCGAGCCCAAGCGGGCTCCGAGCATGCGCGAGAACCTAACGCATGCGCAGAGCCGCCACCGAAGCCTGGCGCCTGCGTAGCGCTGCCCGCTGAGAGGGGGCGTTTGCGCCGAAATGACGGCGCAGAGAGAGGGCGGGAAAGAAGGGTAGGGGCGCGGGTTGTGCTCGCCTGCATTGCTCCTATCCCCGTTCTTCGTCGTGGGGATAAAAACATGCCAACTCTTACCTTGTTTCCACAAATTGTACACCAAAAAAAGTCTGCTATTCGGAGTGCATAGTGGACCATCTTTTTGATTGGAAATAACTGGGCTGAAATCCTGTGGGCTTTTGATGTGGATTACTGTTGATCGCTGAGCTAAACTTGAACTTAAATTCCTTCCTTGCTGCAGGGCTTACTTTGGCCTCATCCTGCAAAAACTTACACGTACATTTAATTTCCTGCGTTAGGTTGTGCCTAATTCCAGGACGGGAACCTGTGTGAAGGAATAGAAAGATGCATCATACAATAAGCATACAAGTAAGTTCTGTTCACCCCTCTGCTTTCCTCAGCTTCTGAAAGAGGAACACAAAACCACTGTGAGCGATGGTGGTCTTGGCAGACAGCTTTCCGTGGGATGAGGATATCCTAAATGGAAAACGATCTGTTGTGTGCTGGATGTTGCTTTCCTATATCTGGAATCCAAAATCTGACAAGTGCCAGCTGGCCGGCCCACAGCAAATCCTTGCATTCTGGGGACAGGAGGGATCCAATGCTCTGTGGGAAACAAGGCAGACTGAAGACCTCTCAACATGACTGCAGTGTTTTATTTTTTTTGAGAGAAAAAGGTTTCTGAGGCCAAATGTAAGCTGCCCCACCTGCTGCCTGCTGCTGAGGGCATAAAAAAGCCTGTAAAACAGTACACAGGGTATCCTAATGATACTACTATCCTATGATCAAGGTTTGTGAGCATTACACAACACTGAGCCTTTCTGCTGCTCACCTTTCAGCCTCAAAGTCCTTTCAGGAGAGATAAGGCACAAAGGATATCAGTGAAAGTTCTTTCTACTCCAGCTCACGTGAGAAACAAAGATAACATAAAGTAGTATTAAAGCATTATCACTGCTTGCACTAACTTGTTTATGCTCCATGCATGAACTGTTTTCACACTGAAACTTAAGACGTGAGTCCTTTGGACATGAAAATTTCTATACCTGGCATTTCTGGAATATAAATATTTTACTGAGTAAAATATACTATGTGGGGAAAAAAATCAGGTGAATTACTTGCTACAAATAACAAACTTCAACAGAAAAAAATGCACACATTTCTAGTTCTTCTTTTGTGCCTCTGATCCCTCCCATAAAATTGAGCCTATGGTTTAGATTTTCTGGTTGTTTTCTGACACAGTCAGGCTGAGCAGCAGGTACATGCTGTGGCAGCAGCCCTAGCTTTGCTACTTAGCTTGTCCATCTCAGGGGTCTGGGCATACTGTGGTGCTTTAGACCAGTTCTTTAGGGCACTGGAGAGAAGTGACAATGCTGGTGCATCTATCTTGTAAATGGAATAGTGCCAGGACATAACTGGAATCTGACCATGACCATTTTAAGCTTCCTTGCCCTCCAAAGCAGTGTGTACACATTCATACCAGCTGCTGAAAATTGTTCCTAGCCTCTATTACTTCCCAATCCATACTGAGAACTGGGAGAATGGTAATTAATTAACACTGTAACAGGATATGTTAACAGCAAAGGCTGTTGGCTCCAGCATCAGAGTGGGCTCTGAGGTCAGGAGTACTCCCTAGCTCAGCTCTTTAGGTCCCTCAGTCTATGCATAACAACTTGAGGGTCGTAATAGGCTTTGTTTACACTTCTAAAAGCTGTATTAATCTGCCTTTTTTTTCTCTATGAAGTACAAGTAGACCTTAATGCATGAAGATTTAACGCAAAACCTCAATTTTTCCATTTCCTCAGAAGATTTCACAATCGGGAAAAATCCTTAGCAGTTTTTGGCTAAATCCTGGCAGTGATTTGGGTTGTGCAGTTGACCCCCCTCAAATACAGCAAGCAGCTGAAACATTGTAAGATACATAAGATATATATAGATATATATTTGCTGTTGTTCAGTTAGATATCAAGACCTTAAGTACCTGATCTGATGAATTCAGTGAAACCTGAAGGAGATCATAAAGATATGCTGTTAAACAGTACTAATGTCCTAGAAGTTCAATAAATACACGGTTTATCTGTCTTTCTGCTGCAGTAACATTGCAAGTAAGGACTCAGGCAAACTGTTCCAGCACCTGCTAACTTGGGTTCAGGGGTTACTGGCCACCATTTGTGTTGTAATCACCATTCCTGTGCACCCTACCCCTGATCTGTGGGTTTAACTGTTTGTCTGCCCAGCTTCTATGGTGTGGTTTTGATATATTAATATATATGTATTCTTAATGGTCTGTATTTATCCCATTAAAATTTTATAAAAGTTAATAATTTTCTAATATTCAATCCTTGACTGACCAGATGTTCAGAAATTGTCAACTGTCGCATGGGGGCACTTCAGGTTAACATCCACTGCATTTAAACACTTCTCTTGAAACTAATGGATCTTGTCTGCATACCTTTAGAAATTTCTGAGAATAAAGAAAATGAAGAATGTATTTGAAACACTACAAGCTGGAAGACTGTGCAGAGGAAAAGGACCTGGGGGTGTCGGCCAGCGCTCAACTGAACATAAGCCACCAGTGCACCCAGGTGGTCAAGAAGGCCAATGGCATCCTGGTTTGTGTCTGAAATACAGCCAGCAGAAGCAGGGAGGGGATCCTCCATCTGTACTCAGCTCTGGTGAGGCCACATCTCGACTTCTGTGTTCAAGTTTTGGGCCCCCCACTACGAGACGTGGAGAATCATAGACATTGAGAATCATAAAACCACTCAGGTTGGAAAAGACTTTAGAGATCGAGTCCAACTATAACCTAATCAAACTACCCTAACAGCCCCCTGCTAAATCATGTCCCTGAGCACCACATCCAAACAGTTTTTAAACACATCCAGGGATGGTGACTCAACCACCTTCCTAGGGAGCCTATTCCAGTGCTTCACAACCCTTTCTGTAAATAATTGTTTCCTATTATTCAACCTAAACTTACCCTGGCACAACTTGAGGCCATTTCCCCTCGTCCTGCCACCTGTCACCAGTGAGAAGAGACCAGCCCTGCTCTCGCTGTAGGCACCTTTCAGATATTGGGAAAAAGCAATAAGGTTTCCCCTCAGCCTCCTTTTCCCCAGCCTGAACAGCCCCAGTTCCTTCAGTCTCTCCTCTTAGGCCATATTCTCTAAGCCCTTCACAAGCCTTGTTGCCTTTCTTTGGACCTGCTCCATCACCTCCATGTCCTTTCTGTACTGAGGTGCCCAAAACTGAACACAGCACTTGAGGTGAGGCCTCACCAGTGCTGAGTACAGGGGCAGGATGACTTCCCTAGTCCTGCTCACCACACCATTCCTGATACAAGCCAGGATGCCATTGGCCTTCTTGGCCACCTGGGCACACTGCTGGCTCATATCCAGCCAACTGTCCATCAGTGCACCGAGGTCCCTTTCCATCAGGCAGCTTTCCAGCCACTCTTCCCCAAGCCTGTAGGGTTGCCTGGGGTTGTTGTGACCAAAATGCAGGACCTGACACTTGGCCCTATTGAAACTCATGCAGTTTGCCTTGGCCCATCAATCAATCGATCCAGTGTATCCAGGGCATTGAGGCCCCAGAATGCGTTCTGAGAAGAGCAATGAAGCTGTGAAGGTTCTGGAGCACATGTCCTGCAGGGAGCACAGGATTTAAAAGACACCCACATCAGGAGAACTATTTTGTTGATGGATATTTCTACCATTAACAAATATAATTCTATCTGGTTTTTCTAAATCATGCATTTGTATAGTTGTTGTTTTTTTTTTTTGCTATGAGATTTCTGATTCCTACAGATATTTAAGAATCAGCATCTTAGCGCTATTGGTAATAATTGCATCAGACCAGCTACACTGTAAACAGCCACCTAAGCTAACTGCACAAATTGCTAGTAATATTCAAAATTATAGTTTCAATAACAGCTTGATTTTAAAACACACTGATTATAATTATTGTGCAAACCACTACTTAGAACTTCACAGGATAGGAAAAAAATGATTAAATGAAAACTATTATTTAAGCACATTTTATTTCCTGAAACATTACTATCATAGCAACAACGTACCATAGTCAATTACAAAATAAATGTACTTTCTGATTCTGCTGGTGAAAAGTAACATATTAAAAAAGCCTAATATTTAACAAGGATGAACTGTGGCTCTGTTTTCATTCCCTGCCAAAAGTTCAGACTAGGACGTTCAGTATTTTAGAGACATGTGATTTCTTTCTTTCCTGTGTGTGGATTCACACTCCCACCTCTTCCACATTCTAACCTCTCTGGCTCCCAGCAAGCAGTGGTTTTCACCTCCTCTGTGAGGCACGCTTGAGCATGCTCAATACACATTAAAAACATGGAGGAGGCAATTTTGGAGCTCCCAATGTGTTAAATTAAATCTGCTCCTACTGCTGCTGGACCACAAAAATGAATGTAGAGGATGGTGAGTGTATACTTGCTCCACTTGGGCTTTTCCTCTTGCCAATAATAAGCTTTACTTTTCAGCCCCTAATGGAGCGTAGAACTTTTCACCGTTTCTTGATCATGGGTTTTTGATGCCTGTGGGCTGGAGGCATCTTCTGTCCTTCCCATGTGAGCTGCAGAAGAGGGAGGAGAATTACTGTTGTATATTTTAGA